GATTGAAACCGACCTTTCCTCCCCCGAGCCAAGCCTAAAGTCAAAAAAAATCGTGTCCCAATATTTATCATACAGCAAAAATGCGTTCATCTATAGATTCGCTATAACTCTCGGCATTAACGGCACTCCCGACGCGCATTTTGTTATACTATACGACGGAACGAATATATTTTGTAGCACCGATTACGCGCACAAAGTTGATCTGTAAAATATAAAAATAAATGCAGATTAGTGTTTGAAATAATTATTATTTATAAAATAATTACTGCGCACATTAAACTTTATATATGGCGATTTGAAGCACGAAGGTTTATCTGTAAAATATACAAATACATTTATACTACAATGACATCCAAAATATTTTATCTAATAAATATCAATTGTTTTTGAAGCACAATTTAAGAAAGGCCTGATCAAAAGACTGAAATAAGAATTTCATGAGATATTTGTGAATGTCTTCTTAATAATCCTTTAACCAATTTAAAATCAATATTACTTCAGTAAAAGTAGCGAGTAATAAGTTTTAAATTTAAATTTTACTCAAGTTTACTTGAGATAAATTAAGGAATATAATTGTATTATTCATCTAAGCCTCTAAAGCTTTGTTATATTATATTGTGATCGGGGGCGTTGCGACCGTCAGAAGTGCCCCTACGCTGGAAGTGGTTCGGGCGCTCCAAGCGCTAAGCAAAAAAAAAAACGACCATGCCACCACGCGGTTTTTACACACTTCAAAAATTATCGGGGTCTATTACAATTTTGCGCCCCTCCAAATTTTGCTACGCTGAAGCGTATATTGCGTACTATATTGCAACGCCCCCGTATATACTTGTATGCTTTTTGAAACATTGATAAGACTTATTTATTAATCGTGCAATTAATTTAATTGATAGTTTGATTTGTATGTTATCTCTTACTGTTAATTGTAATAGCAATGTTGATTGACCGAGGCAAGTCAGTATTAGCAAAGTTTCTACTTCAGCGAGTTACACTCGCTGTCTCATGCAATTGCGAACTCGGCAAAACATGCCAGCGTTACACGCTATTACACGCGGTAGCAGCTTGCTAAAAGCTATAAACTATAAAGCAGCCGCGTATTAAATAAAATTCTATTTATTATGACAATCATGATTAATATTATTAAACTGTATTATAATTCCATTTTGTACGCTGTTACAATATAAATTTTTTATGTTTATGTTCCAGATAAACATTTGTGCCAATTCGGGATAAGTGAATCGTCATACTTCGCTTTAGATTGTCGGCTCGAGTCACACGCGAGTGTGTCGGGAGTGTCGTTTAAAGCGCGATTTCCGTACTCGGGTGATACGCGCGTGTGAATTGTGTCGTCGCGTGTGAGTGCTAGAAGACAGGATTACTGACTATGAGAGAAAAAGGAGGAGACTCAGAGTGACGTCAGAGCAACATTGCGGTGAATTTATCGCAAAAAGTGCGAACTTTTTTTGGAAATGGTGAAGGGACTTAATATTAATGCGGAGTTGGATTAATGAAGGAAGGCAACAATGCAGATGAGGACGTTGCAGTAACTGAGACGGAGAATGAGGAAATTGAAACACCAAATCTTTCCGAGATAAAAAAGCTATTGGTTCTTTGAGAAACAACAAAGCGTTACGAGAGGCCATGATCTCAGGAGAGCTGCTAAAATACGGGGGTGCCGAGCTGCACCGGAAACTACATAAACTCATCGCTGAAGTTTGGAAGAAAGAGAAGATGCCTGCAAAATGGAACACGGCCGTCATCTGCCCGATCCAGGTCGACCACGGATCAAATCTTCTCCATTAGGCAAATACTAGAGAAATGCTACAAATTTAACGTCGATTTGCATCAATTGTTCATAGACTTTAAACAAACTTTTAAACTTGGTGACAGAAATCAAGAGACGACGACTTCATTGGCATGTGCATCGAATGGATGATGCCAAAAATACCAAGATCTTCATTTTCGGATTGGAAGGACACAGAAAACAAGGCAGATCGAAGAGACGATGGCTGAATAATGTGACCTGATCCGGATCGGAGTAGGGGAGTGGCGACGCAAAGCCGAGGAAGAAATTATTGTAACATAAAAATCGCTATTTTAAACAGTAAAAATGTAAAGTGTACTTGTGGCTCATCTGAGTAGATAGTTTGACAGATTAAAATTAGATATACTAAAGTTGACTTTTAATCGTATCAACTGTATAAAAAATCATTCTTTTTATCCAATTAAAAAAATTATTTGGGTTTGATAAATTTATAAGATTCATAATAAAAATTTTTAACCTGTCAAACAATTTCAGGATAAGCCACAATTTTTCAACTACCTTTTGTCTAGCTTTAATGGACGGCAGCTCTGGTGATAGATACATGCGACACGCGTTCTGACATGCATGGCAGCGACTGTCGCGCGTAATCGGCTTATCCTGCATACACGCACACGCGCGTATTCTATTCTAAAATCTAATATAATTGGACATTCTATTTTATGATTGTTATACAATGTGACATTGTAAGTTTTTTAATTATTTCGCAAGCGACGATTTTCTAGCTCCGATTTCCGAACATTTGTAATGCGAATCAATCAAATCTGCTTCGAATTATATATTTTCTCGATCGGTATCGGGCAGGTGCAAAAATTGCGTCGAAACTCATCGCCGCGATCATCCCGCACATTTCTGCCATTCGTACGAACGCTAACTAATCTGATTAATATCCGATTCGAACGATGGATAATGAAAACGGTAGATACGCCATGACACCTACATCCACAGGTGGCCAATTAATTTACAAGCGCACACACTTTACGTGACATCGACATATCCCGAGCATGAAGTCACGTCTCCCTTTGATCTACGAACAGGTACGAGAACATGATCGACCCTTTGTGCGTATGGCGGTCGCCGATACGTCGCGATATGCTACGTTTTCGTGGAAATTTCGGTTTCGCATCGATCGAAAGTAGAGAGCGTTGCCGCGCAGTGCTATTGTTCGCCGTGACGTTCGACCGTCGCCGGGCGCAAAGTTTCGTTTACTTTACTATAGTTCTCCGTTTAATAATCGTAATGGAAACAGGTGCCGGGACCACGTGGCGAAAGCGCTCCCGCAGCTTTCCATGAGATTCACAGCTCGCGCATCGCATCGTGCAAGTGTAAATATCATTGCATCGCCGCTGGCACTCGTTCTTGATTAATCAATAAAGCGCTTCGCGGTGCTCGAAATTACGAGCAGCGACGAATCAGTCGTAAATCCGATGACGCGGCGTGGCCCTCGCACGAACAGCCGTTTTCATGAAATTTAAAACGGGGGATTACAAACGGAGATATTTTTTACGAGAACGCGCGTTTTATTGGAATATTTTTGCGCTTGATTGTGCCGCGCCGCTTTTTGTCGCATACCGATAGTCAGTTTTACCGTTCAAATAATTTCTACGCAAACCTATTGTAATTCTCTTGTAGAATTTACTCATATTTTAGGATAAATCTGCTACATCTTACGAATATCGTAATCTTGTATCACGTTTTTGATACCATATGTATGTCTACATGTAATTTATTTTTTTTTTCTTAAATTGATCTATTATTTTGGACTTTCAAATACTCTGTTTTTTCTCTTTCGAAATTATCTCAGTCGACTTAAGCCATCGTTGACCATAGATCAGTGAGAATAGAACTGAAACTGCATCCTTGAAACTGGACAAGACAATAATTTCTTCATGTCCTCTAGGGAACGAAGGAAAGGGAAAGAAAGTTTCTCCGTTGAATAAAAAGTTATAAGGGCCGCGGAAAGAAACTTATCTCTGAGAATATGTCGTAAATTCTTTTCTATTAGCGGATAGTTTGACATTAATTTGCGCGACAACATTACAATTTTAATTCTCTGAAAGCAACATCCGCATCAAATGAGACAATTTTAATTAACATTTATCACGACACATTTTATGACTGTAGCAATTTAATGGCAGGTGACCTGAAAGCGAAAGTGGGAATTAAAGAACAAGACCGAATTTTAGGAAAATATAATGATAACAATATAAATGAGAACGGCGAAAAATTTCTAGAATTCTAACATCGGTAACCAACATTGGCTCAGAATAATAAATATGTTTTTCTCACATAAAGACATCCACACATATACATGGGAAAGACCACAATTGCAACAAAAATCGCGCGCGCGCGATACTGGACTTCATATTAATTAAGGAATCAAACGCAATTAAATGCAATGACACAAGAGTGATGCAAGAATCTAATTACGGCTCCGACCATTACTTGGTCAAAAGTAAATTAATACGTAAAATGACATATAAGATTGCAAATATGAAAGAATAATCAAGCTGATAAAGTGGAGGACGTCCGAAAGTATAACATACATCAAGATTTGAGTATTAGAGATACTAACCAAAAAAATTAACAGCAATCCTCAAAAAAAAAAACCCCCCGTTGGACATCAAAGAAGAAAATAAAATGATTGTTAGCACAAAATAGGTGCAGAAATTCTAGGCATACAAGAAAATAAAAAACGAACCAAGGAACCAGAATGGCTTAATCCCGAAATTGATCACATAATAGAAGAAAAGAACTTAAAATACAATAATTGGCTTATACAAAAGACAATAGAAAGTAGAAGGATATACCAACAACTAACCAAGGAAGTAAGAAAGAAAGTTGGTGAAGCAAAGAACAAACTATGGGAAGACACATGCAGATGCCTAAAAGAATATATACCTGGAAACCTCCAGAAAAAAAAAGAGTAGACCAAGAAGATCTTGGAACAACGACATGAAGGAAGCCATGGAAAAACGAGAAATAACGGAGGAAAGTGCGCTGAATAGAAAGAAGTGGAGATTGGCTACGGAAACGCGGGCGTACCCGTATTAAATCCGTTGAAGAAGAAGCAATTTAATTTTAGCTGAGATAAATTATTAATTACATTTCTGCGCGGCGCTCCGGTAGATGTGCACATTTTTCTTGACCGGCATCTTGTTTCGCATTGTTTCGCCATGATAAAATTCATGCAAGTATTTTCTGTTGGTTTAATAATATAACGCGACGAGACATCTTCGAGAAAAACAGTCGGCGATGGCAGGCAGTCTAAGTGCTTTTGCAGCCATCGTGGTCTCGCAAATCACTCGGGGGGTGCTTGCGATAATAGTAGCGCTTTAACGCGACAAAATATCGTTAGCCCTTCGCCATGTTGTTAGCCTCCGTTAAATTGCTTCAACAGAATGACAAACGCGACAGCGCGGGATCGAAAGAAATTTAATAGAGGATATTACGATAACAGCGCGTGAAAGGCGCGAGACCTGCGCCAAGCCGGAAAGACGGGACGTGCGGATGACGAGAATTAAATTTCTGTGTGCGATACCATCGCGACACTTTAAATTTAGAAAAGCGCTTGCGCTTGATAAGGGTAGCGTTTACATACATACAAGTTCCAAAATATCATATCGCATTCATTCTTCGGGGATAAACGGGAAACTGCAGAATGAGATACTTTCTGTTACGCCGCATTTGTTATCAAAATCTGTTTTTAAAATAAGAATAAATGCAGAAGATAATAGAACTTTAAAGTGATATAAAAAGGTGCTATTAAATTGTGCGATCATACGATCATTAGCCATTTCTGAAAATCCGTTGCACTGTTTTTTTAAAGAGTTAAGGAATGTCGCTGCGAAATGAAAAAGCGACAAGATTGTTGAACGTAAAGATTGCTTTAATTAGAAAAGTAGCTCTAATTAAAAGCTAAAATCAAATGGCCGGCAATTGTCTGGTGACTAATAATTATGCGGTTTGCATTATTTAGAGAAGCTGCGCAACGCGGAGATATAAATACCTTTTGTATATATATATATATATATATATATATATATATATATATATATATATATATACTACTAC